TGTGTAGTTATCTGTGTTCTCCATGTCTCCTAACAACCCTGTGAAGTAGGATGCTCTCAAATGAGGCCTGATACACAGCTGGAAATAGGGCCAGACTTCAGACCCAGTTCTTTCTGACTTCAGTCCGAGGGCTCTTTCCATTGCTACATATGCCCTGCCCCGCCCCTAAACTGGCCCTCCTGAGCCTCAGTCTTGGAATCGCATCAGGCCCAAGTGGGCTTGATGAAAAGAGAAGGTGGAAAGGGATCAGCTCCGAAATAAGTTGACGTCTGTCCCTGGGGCTATACATGGAGTAACGATGCAGTCCTGAGAAGAGTTTCCGTAATTACGCGAGCTAGACTTGTGCGGCCACCGGAGTGTAGTTGCTTTGGAACGGTCGTGCTGGAAGGCTCGGCACTCGCTCTGATGATACCACTACTGCCCAAACTCCTGTGGGACTTTCCCTTTTTAAGTCATGAGAAGACTTCAGTCCCATTACTGCAAAATTACACCTCATTTCTGATTCCAAACCCAGCTGCAGCTCCACATCTGACTGACTGTGAGTTCCAAATGGCTTTTGGCTGTTGCCAAAAATAAAAAATCAGTCCCTGGAGATGGAATTGTATTATAATTTAGATGCAAAAGAATGGGTTGAATGCTCTGCAGACAATTTTCAAATCAAGATTATAGAAATATTTAAAGTAGCAGAAGCACTGTTGAAATAAATATATCCTCCCAGGCTGATATCTTAGAAGAAGACAACTATAAGTTTTATTGTATAATTTCTGCTGTTTAAGAAAGATTGCTCACTTTGAGGGGCACTGTGAAAATAACACTGGCCAAAGTCAAGACGTCAATGGGATAATACTGAATGCAGGCTGGGGCACTATGAGATGGGCCTACTCAGCGTGGTGGAATTATAAGTTGGTACCACTTTGTCAGAGCAATTCAGCAGTAAACACCAAGAACCTTTACAGAGTTTAAATCAATTGACCTAAAAATTCCACTCCTAGGAATCTTTCTTAGAAAAATAGGCAGAGATATGGACAAAGATTTATGTATACAGCTATTCATTTTATTTGCAAAATAGTAAAAAAAAAAGTGAATAATCCCACAATGGGGAGATTGTCGGGTAACTTTCGTTGTACTCACTAAGTGAAATAATGCATCCATTCAAAATGATGTTTTTGAAGAATTTTCAGTGTTTGAAGATGTTCATGATAGAGTAGGTGATAAAATAAGAGTATAAAACTACATACATTATAGCCCCATTTTTATATTCTATACGCTAAAAAGAAGTCTCAAGATAGACTCAAAATGTTACCAGCAGTTTTATCTGGGTAATGAAATTACAGGTGACTTTAAATTTTCTTCACTATACATTTGTATAAATAATTTTGATCATCACAACTACAAATGGTACTTTTATAATTAAAATTATGTATAATGGAAATTACTTTTAAAGAAAGAAATAAACATGTTTTACTGGAAGAGAAGAGATCTGCCCCCAAGAAGCTGATGGCTTAATGGAGGAAGTGAGACACATACACAAGTAAATTTATTAAGAGATAGTAAGGACTATAATGGAGCATTTACTAAGTATAGAGGGAAAGATTAGCTCTTTCTGGGAGGGATGAGAGTCGGTGAAAACCCGTAACATTTAAACAGGGTCTTGAAGGATGAATAGGAGTTCTCTAGGGCTCTGTAAATTGTCAAGTGCTATAGAAGTATAAGTTACCTTAGGGCCTTTATTATTACTGTCAAAGTTTACCTCATATAAAGCTCCCTTTCTTGTCTCTTTCCCATGCTTCCTAAAACCCAGGATCCCTGGGACAGGAAGCAGCAGCAGTTAAACAGTCACACATCAGTGCTCTAGCAAGTGAACTGAGGTGCATCCAACTAAGGAGCAGATCCAGGACCAGAGGACATAAAATTATCCGGGAGCAGGGCCAGGAAGGTGCTGGTGGGTAAACAATTCCCCTTTATTTGCCACCCTGTGAAAAGGCTGGCTTTGCTTGGGGCCTCCTCCCTGAGTTATGGGGCCATCTCCACCTGGGAGGTGGTAAAAACCGAGAACGAGCATCACACATCAGGTCCTGATTTACATTGGCAGGAAATGGTGTGTCAGATGTCCTTACGGCCTCCAGACAGGGTGGAGTGGAAAGGAGGGGCGTGAGTGAGAGGACCAGGAAGGGTCGCAAGAGATGATTTGTTTGGGAGAAATTGTTAGAAGCTCAGGGTTGGAAGGGACTTACAACTTACGTGCTTTAACCCTCCCGACCCCCTCCCCAACACCCTTATCACGTTGCCATCCTCCGCTTTCAGGGCGCAGCTCGAGCCTGCCTCTTCTATCACCTCCCACCCCAATTCTTATGCTTCGGGCATTCCTCATGGTTCGATTTCATGAGAAAAATAACAAGTATGCCCTTCTGTGCCTCCTGTTGCCAATCTGTTTATTCAAGCAGAAAATATGTGTTTAATACCCACACTATGCCTGCAGTGTTCTAGAATCTAGATGCTGTAAAAGAGTGAAGAAAAAGACAGCCCAGGTCTCTTGTCCCCACAGACCTAACATTTGATCCATGGTTCTCATAGACCATTCTTTGTAGTGGGGAAGACATACAATAAACAAAGGAACAGGTAAAAATACCAGGCTATGAATGTCAAGGAGTCAGCTTTAGGAAAATGTAGGGAAAGAACTTCCCATACAAGGAGAGCAGCTCCGGGGAGATAAACTTTGTCTGCTCTGGGAACAAAAATAAGGAAACTGGCATTGTGCACAGAATACACTTTCTTGCTTAATATGCAAATAAAAATCTTTTCCTGTTTTTGGACTTGATGTAAGCATTGCCTCTGCAGGCTGATTTCCTGATTTCCCCAGGTAGAAGTGACCACTGTCTCCTTTCCTCACTTACTGTTGACTCTGAGTGGGCTTCTGCAGATAAACTTGTTAACAGTCTGCCTCTCTTACCATAGCAGAGCATCACTACTCCCTGGTGGACCTCAAGGCGGAGCTTCCTAACTCAATCCCTAATGCCCAGCACAAAGTCTGTGATCTATGCATTTGTTCCTTGAGTATGTGAACTCTCACTATTCACTCTATCAGAATCTCCTTATTGACACTTATCCAGAATTAGCAACCATTTATTGATCAGAGCCAGTCCCTATGTTAGGTACTTTCAACTCTGCTAACTCTTACAAGGCTCATGACCACCACGGTGCAGTGTTGTTATTCTATTCTGCAGTTAAAACTCAGAACCAAAGTGAATTCTGAGGTGGCTCAGTAATAAGAATCAGAGCTGAGATTCGAACGCAGGTTCTCTTGGCACCAGATTCCAACGCTCCATCTTCTTTATGATGCACTTGTCATGCACTGCTCTCCGGAGCCAACATCTCTTTTCTCCTAGATAGCCATTTCCCTGAAGGAAGGGTCTGCACTTGACTTCACACTGTGTGCCGCATGATACCCAAACAGTGCTTTGTATTTGAACACATTCAGTACGTGTGTCTTAAACACCCAAGGAGTGGAAAAGAAAGTATGAATGTGTAAATGAATGCTCCACCCAAAGTGAACCAGCTTCTGATATCAGTTCATAGGATGGTGGTGGGCTGGGGCGAGAAATGTTTTGGAGAGGAGGGGCCTTCCCAGAGACCTCCGCGCCCATCTGGGAGACTGAGCGTGCTGTCTCCGTAGGAAAGCCCTAGTTTCTTAGAAATCACACCTTTTGCTCAGTTGTACATCTCAGCAGGCAGGCAGGGGCACAGAGGGGAACATGCATGGCTTCCAATGAGTTGGGAAAATGAGGTTAGGTTTCGATTCAGATAGTTATTTGTGTTTTCTGGGTCTGCACGGTCGATAAATTTTCAACGAGCAGTGATTCTGTTCCTCATCTTTCATGCTTTATGGGACTTCGGGGAATGAAAGCATAACATCCTGCTTTCCCATAAGTTCTCTGGCCGCTACCCTGGCACCAATTAAAGACATGTCTATGCAATTAATCAAAACCAATTTGGAAGCACTCCGGCGCTGCTCCTCTGATGTGCTGCCTGCTTCGCGTACAGTAGTTCCTCAGCTGCAGCCGTGGAGCCAGGCACATAGGAGCTTTTGATGAACTGGCTGAGCCGGCCCCAAGTGTTAACTATGTCATCTGACATGACTAATGAGGCTCCCAACTTGATTCGCGTGAGCGGAGCAGCCCTGCTGTCTGGAGGAGGCTCAGTTTCTGCAGCCAGCCTTGGAAGAGGCTGCAACGTGCGTGGTACACACTCCATCATGTCAGCTGGAGTCCTGGAGGCCTCTAGTGTTAGAGCTCGGAGTCGTCCTCCGGGAGGGTGGCGGAAACTGTGGGCCAGGCTCTGAGCTGGGCGCTGGAGGGAATGTGACCCCACTGAAACTCGTAGCTCAGCCTCCTCATTTTAAAGACACAAAACAAGACCCAGCAGAATTGTGGGGTTTGCTAGACACCGGAACTTTGCAGATAGAAATAAAGAGAAGGGATGGTTGCTATCCTTGAAGAGTTAAAGAGTTAAACCCCTTAAGGAGCAAATAAATAAATGCTCTCAGGAGTAACTGGGGCCTGATACAAGTACGTCTTATCAAGGGTTAAATCATGGGTTTCCTTCCTTTATTCTGCAAACAAGGTAAGGGGAGAGTGTGTGTTCTTGTCACCTTTGCAATCCCCAAAGCATGGGATATGGAGTCAACAGATTGAGGTTTGCGTCCCAGGTCTACTTGGAGTTGATGTAATCTTGAACAAATCACTTCATTTTTCTGAGCCTTGGTTTCCTCACTTGAAACACTGAGACAAGCCAATTACTTCTGCCCACCCAGCCTACTTCCTAGAGTCCTGGTGAGACCCAGCAGAGTTAATGTGTGTGAAAGTGGAAGTGAGAGTCTCTGCACATGGTAGTTATTATTCATATTATTACAGCCTTTAGAAACCCTTGGCTGAAATCTCTGAAATAAGGATCCACAGCTAGATTTAACTCTCTTTCTCTTCCTGCCTCTTCCAAATGCACAGGAAAGAAATGGATATAAAACCAGTTGGTTATCTGCCTACAATTTTAACAGCTTCCCCAGAGAGTCCATGACACAGAAAGGAGAAGTACTCAGCCATTGTAATTTAATGTCATTCCACACATTGATCGAGCACCTACCATATGCCAGACATTCGTCACGCTGTGTGGGGAATCAGAGTTGGATAAGACATGTCCCTCGACCACCTTGAGAAGCTCACCAGTTAGTGGGAGAAACAGACATGGACGTGAATAACTGTAACTCACTGCAGAAAATACAATTGCCATTGGAAAGATGCAAATCAAGTGCTGTGGGAGCCAGAGGAGCCTGGGAAATGCTTCCTCAAGGCAGCATTCCTGGAGGATGGGCAGGTTCAGCTGTCAGGAAGCAGGAGAACCGGTGCTCCAGACTGAGGGAACAGCACAGGCAAGTGCATGGAGTCCTGCAAGGAAGGGTCAGAATAAAGTTCATCGATGTGTGGGGTGTGAGTGTGAACAAAGGAAAAGTCGCTGGGCCCCGGCTCTGAAACCCAGGCTTGGTGCTGCTGTTTCACGCTTCTCTTTGCTGCCGGGTCCCTTTGGCCTCTGTCCCTCAGTCACAGAGAATCCCTTACGGGCCCTGACTCCAGCATGGCTGAACCCAAGCCCCAGGCAGAAGAGCCAACAGTGAGGGGACAGCAAAATCTTAAAAGCAGAGCAGCCAGGGCTGGGAAATGCCAGTCACAGCCACACCTCCCTGACCCAGGTGAGAGCTTCACATGAATCCAGCAATGACACTGTCTGGAAGCATGATGACAAAGGCCTAGAGCCTCTTGGCATGTGTCCCATGCTACATTTCTCTCCTTCCCTGCTTTGTCTAGAAGAAGCCAACTGTTTTTGTGAGCACTGCCGTCAGAACAGCTTTGGAAGGCCGGGAGCTGCAGCTGGACTCAAGGCCCGGCCATGGGCCACCCCAGGGGCTCCTATTTTCTCAGCCTTCCCATTTTTCATTGTAAATCATGTTTTATTGTGCAAATAATACAGCGAAAAGGACATCAACCCTGAAAATAAGAGACAGGAAAGAGAATGCCTACTCGTACATTATCTGTTTCCTTTTATCCTTGCTCTTTCCTTCCTGTTGACTGTGAGCATAACTTTTTTTGTCTGCTTTCATCACTGACACAATTATATATTCTATTTTTATCACTGACAAGCGTATCATACAGCTTTTTGCATTTAGCTACTGCCAACCACTGGTCTCCACACAGGCCTGGCCCTGCTTCCGACTGGAGAAAGAAGACTGAGAAGGCTGTAGAAAGAAGCGAGGGCTGTCCCCCCCCCCCACAGAGGACATGGGTGCCACCGATAGTTGGCATCAGGAAGGCTGCCAAGGAAAACCACTGACTGCTCTGCCATCACGTAGGCTTGGGTTGGTATCTCAGCTCCTCTACTCTGAAGCTACATGGCCCTGAGCCAGTCACTCTCTCTTTGCCCCTCTGGGCTTTGTCTGTGAAGTGATTAGGGTTCGGTATCAGTGCCATCCTCGTGGACTTGCTGTGAGGATTACATCAGAGACGAAAGAGGAAATGCCCAATACAGAAAGTGGCGGCTCCCCTTCCCGTGCCCTTGCTGGGCCAGCCCAGGGTGCACTCTGCCTCTGCCCTTCCTTTCCTGCCCATGTTGGACCGTCTCCCCTCCCCGGGGCCCAGCAGGCCTCCTGGGTCAGCCCAGCTAAATTCTGATAGGCACACCAATGTGTATATTTATGATTATTGGATGAGTGCACTCTCTTTTACTTAATTATTCTCCTCTGATGGAATATTGGTTTTTTTCCCCAATTTTTCACTATTTCTAATAATGATGCAATAAATCTTAATGCATATCACTCATTTCATCCTTTGAAAAACATATTTTCTTAAAAACAATCCCCAAGAATAGAATTACTAGGACAGAGGTTAGAAACATCTTAATGGCTTCTGATGAGTATGTCCCAGCAGTTTTTCAGAAGTTTGTGCCTGTTGTTCTGCCACCAGTGGGAGGGAAGGGCCACTTGGGCTACATTATAGACTCCTGGGCTCTGGCCACAAACTCCCCTCTTATTTTGTTTCCCACCATTCTCTCCCCCAACAGGCCTCCCCCATTGCAGTCACACGGGATGACTCACTATTTTCCCCTAAAATGATGCTCCCACACTTTTGTGCCTGTGTACTTCTTACTATTCTCCATCACCCGCACATAAGAATATCCTTACATCCTTCCCCTAACACACCCTCTCACCTCAGCACTCACCCTTTGTGAAACTGGGAACTTCTATACTCTTCAAGACCCAGCTCAGTTACCCGTTTGCTGTGAACTAGTTCCAGTGAGGGGGGGGAGAGAGAGAGAGGGAGGGAGAAGGGGAGGGAGAAAGAGAAACATCAACACAAGAGAGAAATATCAGTTGGTTGCCTCTCAGATGCACCCTGTCTGGGGACTGCACCTGCGGCCCAGGCATAAGTGGAATCAAACCACTGACCTATTGACTTGCAGGATGATGTCCAACCAACGGAGCCACACTGGTCAGGGTGAAGAATGAGTCACTCTTGCTACATGTGATGCCTGGAGGAACCCTTAACATCCAAGTGGTCCCCCGAAACTATTATCCCCCTAACCTGAGCTACACGCCCAAATCTGCATGATTCTCCTCCCTCTTCCCCTCCCTCGCCCTTTGCACAAGGCAATTACCAAGTTACACCAATTCATAGCCCGAGTATTCTTGGATCTATTTATCTCCATCTCACTGCCATCACTATTGGCCATCACTTCTCATCAGGGTTCCAGCAGTAGTCTCCTAAAAAAGAAAAAAAGTAATATGTACATGGTTCAAAAGTCAAATTTTTCTTGAAGGCTTTTAGTAAATGACAGTAGGTTCCTGTTCCACGTGTCCCACACCATGCCCTGCTCCTCAGAGACAACTAGCCACTTTCAAGTCTCTGGGCTGTTTCTTTTGGTATTTACTTGTCTTTTCCAAATAATGTACCTATACTGTTCTTGATTTTCAAGTTTAGAAATTATCTACTGACTTTGAACAATGGAAGATTTCTCTAACACCACTTCCCTGCCCTGTCCTTCAGGGTAACTGTATCATAATGTTTGGTTAAATTGTTGTGTGGTATTTACATATTATGACTAGGAGTACCATTATAAATATTTGCCCTTTGAGTTGCCAGCATCTCCTCTAAGACCTTCCTGGTGAGGCCTGCAGAGGGTGGGACACTGGGGGCAGGAACTATTGCAGGGGGCATGGGGCAGGCTGGCCATTGGCTGGCAGGTGGTGGGCACCAGAATAGTCTCTGAATGGTTCCCATGCAGGGCTCTCTGGGCCTAGGTAGGTAAAGCAAACAAGGCTGAGGTAAGCCTTCGGAGAGAGCCAAAGGCACTGCCGAGGAGGGGCTCGAGGCTGCTGATTGGCACAGGCACTGACTGAGCCAAGTGGGCGCTGCCTTTTCTAACAGGGTTCTGGAGACATTGGCTGTGCCAGGGCTTCTCTCTTCAGATGATGGACCCTGGGAAGGTTCGGGAAGTTGTAAGATGGGCAGCTGGGGTAGCTGAAACAATGATGCTCAGGGAGCTTCAGGGTAGCTACTATTTACTAACCACTGTAGAGGAATTTCAACACTAACGACTAGTACAATCTAACAGAATGAATACAGTCCTGTTGACTCTGATTATGACTATGTAAACATTCACAGTGAAACGTGTAGGGCTTTGCGATTATGTTTACATTCTTGGTCAGATTTTAGTTTTCCCTAGAATTAGTAGTTGCCTTGTTGTTTTCTTTGGCTTACTTTCTCTATACCCATCACTAAATTTTCTTCAGAGTCTTAGATAGAACAATATCATAGCCAAGTCAGGTAATTTCTCACTTCTGGCTACATACTAGGCACTGTGCTGAGCACCGGGGACTCAACTGTGAACAAGGTAAATATGTCCTTGCTTGCATTAAGTTTACAAGTTAGTAAGGGATCAGACACAAAATAATTACAGTTGTTTTAAGTGTTACAAATGAGAGTAGTATGGCTTCTATGGGGAAACAGCAGAAATACCTCTCCCGGCTAGAGAGACAGGAAAGATTTCAGACTGGAAGGATGGATAGAAACTGTTCAATGGGACAAAATACATTTACTGATTGTCTGCTACTTAATGGGCACTGTTCTAAATGCCGAAAACGTAGTACTGGACTGTGGTGGACTCTGGCCAGCAGAGTGAGCCTGTCGTGACTGAAGATGAGAATAAATGCACAGGTGACAGCAATCCTGTGGAGAAAAAGGGGACAGCATGGCTACTCTCTCAAGGGGAGAGCGCCTAGACCCTTGCCTAGACAGGCTTTTATTGTTTTTCTTGGGTCTTACATCAGAGAAAGATTTATCATCTATTACATAGAATATTAATGTCTACATTTTGGGTACAATCAAGGAAATGAAAATAACATGCAGAGGGGAATGGCAATGAGCTGATTAGCTCTGTCCTTGGAAAAATTCATACAGGCTTTGGAAGTTACCTTGAAGATACACAATACACATTCATTGTTTTGGATCAGGGTGATGGAGTTTTAGCAAGAGCAAGCCATAGCAATCTGTATGCATTTTCTAGGCCTGAGTCCCATGGGAAAACTTGGTTTGAGGGTCTGGCTCCTGCCCACCACCTTGCTTCTGTAGGTTTTCCACACAGAGCTGAGTCACATTTGCCAGACCAAAACAAACCGGTCCCCTACACTGGACAGCCTAGGCGAGGCCTCTGCCTTCCTGGGGCTTAGGTTCCAATGAGGAGAGGCAGATAATTAACACAGAAGATAATATTCAGTAGAAACAAAATAAACCAGGTGGCATAATGGGGAATGGCCGGGGCAGGCGGTGGGGTGGGGCGAGGCTATTTTAGGTAGCTTGTCAAGGTCACAGAAGAGGTGACCTCTGACTTGATATCTGAAGGATGAGAATAGTCGATCAACTATGTGAAGATTAAAGAAAAGAGGGTTCCAAGCAGAGGGATCGTTCAGTGCCAGATCCAAGGAGGAGCAAGATCATGAGCCTTTAGTGCAGAACTGGAAAGCAGTTCCATAAGGCTGGAGCATGAAGGGTAGAGGGCAGTAGCTGAGATAAGGGAGCTGCTGTTACAGAGTGGGGGCCCTGGCACCTCCTAATAATACCATTCCTAATAAAATTCCAACCCTGCAGTTATGTTGTAAGATACACTCCCAGTCTGTTCTTCCTCTCTTTAGTATTACGGGAAGTATGGAAACTTGCAAGTTCCATTTTGGTAGACTCCCTTGCCAGGTGGATGGTGACTAAAAGGCATGTGGAGGGAAGAATCCGCTGTTTCATCTGGCTTTTTGGTGGGAGCTCAAGCAGCAGCAGTGGCAGCAGCAGCCCTGATAGATCAGTACCTGCCGTGGGCTGGCCTCACCCAGTGGTGACCGCACCTTCCTGATTTTCCTTTTTTTCTTCTAACCCTTCCAGCCCTTTCCTCCTTAGGCAACTCCCCTGTGCCCAACATCTCTGTAAACTGTCTCCTGCTTTAAATTTCTGTTTGACATGGTCTGGAGTAGTGCCATCGCATAGAATGCTCTGCAATGATAGAAATGGCCTGACCGTGCTGACCAATGCAGCATCTACCCATCGGATGTGACTTCTGAGCTCTTGAAATGTGACTGTGATAGAGGAACTGAATTTTTAATTTCGTTTCATTTCAATAATTTAAATGTAAATAAGCCATGTGTGGTTAA